TTAGAAAAGTCATGGTGCCCGACCCYAGCATTGGAAAACTTGGCCCAACTGGGAAGGTCCCTATAGAACCAAGTAAGTGGTTATCTCACTGCCTAATACAAATTAAGATGAACAAACACACTAAGTGAGCAGTGCTACTCCGAAAAGGCAAAGGCACCTTGCAACCTCGTCCATGCACCACTCACTAGGCCTCTGCTACACGCAAGCCTATCCTCCAAGTCCCTAAGGAAGAAAACCCAGACAGGCTAAGGCAATCACCTCCCTTCCCTTTTAGCTAAGGAAAGGGGCCCTGAGACCTTAGCGGCAAAGGTCGACCTCGGCCTAACTACCTTAATAGGAAATCCTAAGCAATTAACTAAGTAAAGATAACCAAGTTTTTCCTACAACTCATGCCTCTTCAAAGGAGGGCATTGGCCCCTCGCACAAAAAGAAAAAGAGAGAAAAAAAACAAAGAAAAAGGAGACCTAGATTTCATAAAAAACTTGGTGTATTTTTCATTGATATCTTTTTGAACTTTGCACTTTACAAAAAAATGGCCTCTTATGGGGGAGACCAAACCCCTTACAAAAAGATTAATAAAAAATGAGTTATAAGAAGGAGAAAAGACTAAGGACTATACGAAGGAGGCCCCGGCGACTTCATGCCTTAACATCCACGTGTTCGTCGGCTGCCTTTGGCTGGGCAAGCTGTTCGTTGCCAACTTAGCCCTCAGCTAGCTCCACTGCGACCGCTTAGTTGCCCAAAGACTAGATCCTCAACTGGCTGACATCGAAGTCCAAAAGAAGCACTAGCACTTGAGCCTTAGTGCCTTTGATGCCTTTGAGGTACGAAGTGACACCGAACTAGGCCATCTCATCCTTGTAGGCCTCAAAGGCCCAGGAAATCCTAAGCAAGTAGCTAAGTAACAGATAACCAAGTTTTTCCTACAACTCATGCCTCTTCGAAGGAGGGCATCGGCCCCTCGCACAAAAARAAAAAGAGAGAAAAAAAACAAAGAAAAAGAAGACCTAGATTTCGTAAAAAACTTGGTGTATTTTCCATTGATATCTTTTTGAACTTTGCACTTTACAAAAAATTGGCCTCTTATGGGGGATACCAAACCCCTTACAAAAAGATTAACAAAAAATGAGTTATAAGAAGGAGAAAAGACTAAGGACTCTACGAAGGAGGTCCCGGCAACTTCATGCCTTAACGTCCACGTGCTCGTCGACTGCCTCTAGCTAGGCAAGCTGTTCATTGCCGACTTGGCCYTCAGCTAGCTCCACTGTGACCACTTAGCTGCCCAAAGACTGGATCCCCAACTAGCTAACATCGAAGTCTGAAAGAAGCGCTACCACTTGAGCCTTAGTGCCTTTGATGCCTTTGAGGTACGAAGTGACACCAAACTGGGCCATCTCATCCTTGTAGGCCTCAAAAGCCCAGGAAATCCTAAGCAAGTAGCTAAGTAAAAGATAACCAAGTTTTTCCTATAACTCATGCCTCTTCAAAGGAGGGCATCGGCCCCTCGCACAAAAGGACAAAGAGAGAAAAAAAACTAAGAAGAAGAAGACCTAGATTTCGTAAAAAACTTGGTGTATTTTCCATTGATATCTTTTTGAACTTTGCACTTTACAAAAAATTGGCCTCTTATGGGGGAGACCAAACCCCTTACAAAAAGATTAACAAAAAATGAGTTATAAGAAGGAGAAAAGACTAAGGACTGTACGAAGGAGGTCCCAACGACTTCATGCCTTAACGTCCAAGTRCTCGTTGGTTGCCTCTGGCTGGGCAAGTTGTTCGTTGCCAACTTGCTAGCTCCACTACGACCGCTTAGCTGCCCAAAGGCTGGATCCCCAACTGGCTGACATCAAAGTCCAAAAGAAGCACTAGCACTTGAGCATTAGTGCCTTTGATGCCTTTGAGGTACGAAGTGACACCGAACTGGGCCATCTCATCCTTGTAGGCCTCAAAGGCCCAGAATTCCTCTACAGCCTAAATCGAAGACTCTTGCGCTTGCTACTCCACCTCGTCTAAGGAGGCTCTAGCAGCCCTCTATTGCTCCCTCTTCGCCAAGACATCGGCCTCCAACTTCTTTCGGCGCTCATTCTCCTTACAAGCCACCTCGGCCAAGGCCTCTCGGCTGGCCCGCGCCTTACCCAACTGGTACTACAATTGCATGACCTCCTGCGAAGTTTGGAGCTACTAGAGGAGGACCTCTACCTTATCACATAGGCCGATGATGTAAAAAGACGTCTGCAAAGAACAAACCTCCATCAAATAAGAAAGCAAAGTAGAGAAGACAGTATGACTAAGTACAAGGAAGAACTCTTACCTCAACCAGCCAATCTAGCAGGGTGTCCTTAACCCCTAGATGGACACCTGGGTCCAAGACTACCTATCTCCCGCTAGGAGCATCTCTGTCACTAGAGCTCGACCGATGCCAAGGTTGTTGAGTGTGTCGCCTTCCTTCACATTCCAGTTCGAGCGGAATACCCTGGAGCCAATAGTGGCATATCATCGCGGGGTTCGGTTGAATGAGGCCCCGACTGCTAAGAGGCCCCAGTTGCTCCCTCCGTTGGGCGGTCCCTCACTATTAGCCTCTTGGCCCACAAAGCTTGAGGGGCTTTGGCTAGACTTTTGGGCATAGCCTACTTTCTCTTCTCAGCCTCAGCTGGCACCTTCAGCAGAGGTGGTTCCTTCGCGATAAGCCTCTTTGATGGCCCCTCGGCTAGGCCCGCATGAGTCTGTACTTCATGGCACTGTCCATTTCTACAACCAACAAGGAATGCATCAGAATGCTAACAAAGCAAGTTAAAAGGACGACGCAACTAGCCAACAACAAGAGTGCCCATACCGAGGTGGGCGAGGCTGAGACCAGCCCACACCAAAGCTTCCTCTACCACTAGGGGCTCAGTGCAAATCATCCCCATTAGCCGCATCTAGGTCATCATGGCTGAGACCATCRTTTGGGACAAGAGACGAAGAAATACTGCTTCTTCCTGTTGTGGACAAACGACAAGTTATCCACTACTTTGCCCCATTGGCYTAGAAGTATCATAAACTATCCCTAGCGGGATACCTCCTTAAGGCAAACAGACCTCAGAAGATGTTCAAGGTCACAGATAACCCTCGAAGGTGAGCCATTACCAACACAACAACTATGGTCCTGACCACATTAGGAGCTAGTTGACTGAGGGAGATGTTATAATAGTTAAGGATCTTGATGATGAGAAAGTGTATRGGGAAATGGAGGCCAAAGTGGAGGTAGTGCTTGTGCACACACACCTCCCCCTCGGCCAGCTGTCGCAGCCTGTTGTTGACGCTATGGACCCTAACCATATAGTCCCCAGGAATATGGTACATCTTGGCAAAAACCCTCACTTACTCCTTACTGAGCTCATTGTCTAGATCGGAGTGTGGGAAACGCATCAACATCATGCCTTAGCATTCGGCCTTGGCAAACTCCTCAAGAGAAGGATCTCCAACTTCCTTTGACTCTACCACTTTAGGATGCACTAGGGCATTCCCCATGGCATCGCCCCTCAGCCTTATGGGTCTGATACTTTCATCAGGAGACTCCTAGCCCCCGTTGGTTGCACTCGACGCCTCTAGGGAAGGCCCTCTCCCTCAGTACTTGAACACCAGGCACCCAAAGAGAGCTCTCRGATTCACTACTGGTACTCCTATTGCTGGACAAGGTGGAAGAATGACTACTGGTGCCACTCATGTTAGGAAGATCGTAATACTCTAGTCTAGAGTCGGAATACAACATGGTTTGAGGAAAAGTCCTTTACCTAGTGAACGAGTTTGAAGGAAAAGATCAAGGGATCGGTTGGATTGGTGGTCGAGGTCTTTGGGATCACAAGCGGAAGCAAGCAAATGGTGGAGGTTGGCTCAACCATCGACCCTTTTTAAAGGAAAATGTATGGCTCAGATCACTTTGATCCAACGGTTGAAGAGTTGTCGACCTAATAGCTCAAACTGACACATCATATGTGGCATCGACCTCAGGAAGACGAAATGCCACCGAGCGAACAATACCGCCGAGTGCACGGCCATAGCCGATCAACACTGACATCCATCCCGTGCATAGATTCACGATGACACCCGTACGGAGCATGGCCGACAAATGCGGACAGTTCACACATGTGCCAGGCACGGTCCCGTGCTCTTGGCCCGCCATGGTCATCCAAAGAGGCGAGAAATAACAAAGGAAGCAGTCACCACACAATCACCAAGAAGAGCTCTTAGCAGCTAAGGTTGACGCCTCTACACCACTATATGACGCTTTCTTCGACTGAAGCTAAGGCCTCTGCCCAACATACCAATCCAACACCTCCACGAAGTAATGTAGTACTCTCTTCGGCCGAAGCCGAGGTCTCAACTCAGTGCACAACTCTACCTCGGTCACTACGGCCTCAAGAGTTGGGAGCAATTGATGTAGGAACATGTGGCAAGTCCCCGGATCGCACCATGTGGCATCGGTCGGATGAGATCCTGGCCATCCATCCCTAACTGCCTCCAACCACTCTATGACAAGGTCAGCTATGAAAGGGGGGGTGCCCAACTCAAAGTAAAGCAATCTTGCTCATCCTTGCTCTCTTGCATTCGTATTCTCAAAAGACCTCGTGTGAGCTCTTCAGGACTAAGCTCTGAGCCTTCATCTCAAGCCTAACCTGACCCTCGCTAAGCACATGACTAACTTGACCGTCAAAGTCTTTGCCCCTAGAATAACACCCAGGGCCTCTAACGTGTACTCTTCTCTTACTCACAGGTTAGACCCATCAACTTTGAACATCAACAAAATTACCTTATTGCCCTCGGCCCCATCCTTGACAGCAACATGAATCAATGCCTCAAACAAGTTGGAGACGTACATAGGAGATGTGGGCTGCGGGTGGATGAGCTCTTACATGAGTGTATTAATTAGTTTCTTTTTATAAACAGTAAATAGAATAACATAGCCAAGACAAAGTAATTTAAACAGTTTCATGATCAGCAAGAATAAGAGGAATTGGTACTAGTGAAGGGTGAATCCATCGTCGTAAGAAACATGCCATCCTCGTCGACAAGGGGGCGCATTTTCGTCATACTCTGAACAGCAGCTCCACCTCTTCTTCCAATTGGCACTCCCTGTGTTTGGTCTGTTTCCCTTCTCATTCCATTTGTAGACAATTACTCCACTGCGATCGCTCCACTCACCATCAATTCCTTGGTGTGGCGGGGCTAACGCAAACAACCCTTTCTCTCCTGCAGCCACAAGTAGACCCAATAATCATGCGGCAGTTTCATACTAATAACGCAATTAGATAATTGGCATGCCCATTCACCATTCTTAATTTCTTATTCTCTCGCTTGCTCAGGACTCTCTTATGAGCACTCTGTCAGACACCTGGCATACATAAAGGAGATCATGTCATCGGGGACTTAGCTTTAATGGGGAAGACATCTGATAGGTGTGGGTGTCGCCACATTTGGAAGCCTTGTGAGATCACAGATGTTAACTCTCGTTCAAAGGTGCTTGGTGAAAATTTGTTCAATCACTCAAGCACAGCCTCGCTAGTATAGAAGCATCAAAAACCAATATTTTGCCCAGAATTGTTGACAGAAGGAGAAGAAAAATCAATCGTGGCGGAAAGAAAAACGCAGCCGATAGAAAGTTATCCATACCGGTGATGTGGCCGTGGAACAAGCAAGCAGTGGGAGAGTTATCCTTATCTTGGTAGAGTGTGTTGCACCTGAGACATCGCTTCTCCAGGGGAGTCTGAGATGGGTATGTTTTGGGTTGGTTGGAGTTGGAGTTAGACGATTTGATCTGAAAAAAAGCATTTGATGGCCTCAAGTGAAGGTTTTGGGGAAGACAATAAGCCACAGCCATGTGATTCGGCGAGATAAGAACTTGGGGGGCTTTTTTTTTCTAGGGGTTATAACAGATTAGGGCAATTTTTGGGCCCTAATATAGTAATACTTCTAAATATATTTCACAAAAATTTAATTTTTTAAAAATAMTATCAATTAAAGGCAAAATAATGTTCATCTTCTTCCTTTTGCAATCCATTCACCATCACCACCGTCTCCAACCACGCCTTACCCTATCTTTGCCCACCTCCACTTCCACCTCTGGCAAGGTGGAGGCAGAGGCAGCAACGGCGCTGATGGACGGAGGTKGCGACGTTAGGTAGAGGAATGACCACCAGCGTCGCCACCTCTACCTCTGCCTGGAGGCAAAGGTGGGCGGAGATAGGTGGAGGCATGGCCGGAGGCGACGGTGGGCACCAGCGAACAGTGGCACTGGTGAATGGATTGCAAAAGGAAAAAAATGAACAATATTTTTGCCCTTAATTGATATTATTTTTAAAAAGTAAACTTTTTTGAAATTTTTTTAAAAAGTATTGCTTTTATTGATATTAGGGCCCTAAAATTGCCCTTATATGTTACAACCCTTTTTTTTCCATTTGTACTCTTTAGTTATGAGGAAGTAAGTGTGGATATCCAAAATTTTTTATAAATTTTATGGTATTTTTATTTTTTGTTTTTACATAAATACTTCATCAAAATATGTGATATTTGGACCTAGTTGTGAAGTTTCAAATATCATTGAGAGGTCTACCTACTTGGTTAGACTCTTCATTTTATAATGTTTTAGCGTTTTAGTGTATTTTTTAATTCATTTGTTAAAAAAGTGTAAGATTTAAATACAAGGAATTGAATGAGGTGAAAAGTAGTAGTTCAATTTACAACTTAAATCTTAGAATTAAATAGGGACTAAATAAAAAATAAGCATTTTAATCAAAAGAAAATTTAATAATCKTATTCATACTTTTAATAGTAGTGTAAATATAAAATTATAAATGTGTTAATTTTTCTATCACTTTTTTATATTTTTGTGTGTAGAAATAATTATGACATGCCACACTTACTTTTTGTTTACTATGATATTATACATGTGCTCAAATGCTTTTTTTTTGCAAAATTTATGTATATTTTTATTTTATGATTTTTATATTTTATTAATTTTTATTATATATTTATAACATTAAAGGTTATAACATTTAACATTTGGCCAGTTGTAATTTATGTATTTTATTTTCATTATCAATAAAAATAATTCTTGTTTATTACACTTATTTCATTTTCATTATGACGTGTGTCTAATTTTTATTTTACATTTTTGTAATTGTTTATATTTATTTCTATTTTAAAAATTTTATTACCTAAGTATGACTTCATAGGTTGATAAATTTGATTTGGATGGTTAAATTGCTTAGCCACCACTTGGATAATAAATGATTTTGTTTTTTAGTCTGTTTTAAAATATAATGGGTCTATATTGTTATAAATATTGACATAGAACTAATTAGTCGCATTTATTAGTGAAAAATAACTTAAATATATGATTTAGTAAGAGAAAATGGGATTTAATAAGACTTAATGAAGGGTGATTAAATGAGGTGAAAAGTAATAATTGAATTATATTCAACCTTTACAATTAGAGATAGACTAAATATATAAATATGGGCATTTTAGTAGCCATTAGAGCTATAATAAAGTGACTTTTATACCCTTTCTGAAATAAAGAAATAGAAGGTAAATTAGTCCAAATAAAGTTTCATGGGTTCAACTATGATATGGAAAAGATATGATATCTGAAAACAACAAACCAATAAACTGGAATCATAAACGTTATAGCGAATAAGGTGTTATTTATCAAAATTAATGGGTGGGTTTTGATTGGTCAAAACTCTTTCCATATCATATCTTTTCCACATCATAGGTTTTCTCAAGTTTCATACTGCATCCACACTTTTATACATGGTATAGATTTCACTTTTTCCTTATTAGACAATAGATTATGACTCTTGATCCTAYGACCAATGGCATTGATGGTTTAAAAAGGGGGCCCACTTTGTCTTTGATGCACCTTTTTCGTCTCAAGAAGCCTAGATCTTCTACAAGCAAAAACTGGAAGCACATGTCATCTAAGCACACATTGGGATTATCTCATACATATATGTTAACTTTACATATAAACTATGGTTGCAATCAAATTGATTTAGGGCTCAAATTCGATTAGGCTGAATTTGAATTCAAACCTTAGGATAAATTTGATTAATTTATTTAAATTGAACTTAACCAATAAAAAATTTGAATTGAAAGCTCCCAAGCCTGACTTAATTAACACATACATGAAATCAACTGCGATCAGTGCAAAGCCCATTTGAATAGCCTTTATTGGATTGCATTGGAAATACCTCCGTACTTATGTGCTTTATTTCATGGGGAGATATTCCCAATGCAAGGTTGCAAGAGGATGCTTGAATGGTGTGAGCACRAGCTTGCACTGATTGAAGCTGAATTCCACATACATATATATTATAGAATGTAAAAACATATTTTATAAAATATAAAAATATCTTATATTGTAAAAAACATATCATATATATTTATAAAATATAAAAATATAATCATTTTCGGAATTCACCTTTACATCCCATAGAGGGYGCCCCACAAACGCCTCACACCATATTCCAACCATGTATTAGAAACATCTCCCACTGCTAACTTTGAGAGATGTTCCCAATGTATGTTGAGATGTGCATGTAGGGCATAGATGCGATCTCTTTTTTGAGCTTTCGAGTCAAACTCAATCTTATCAAATATTTAATTGAACTGAGCTCAAATTGGAAAATATTATTTGAATTGAATTTGAACTTGAAGTCAAATTTGAACCTAGTAATATTTTAGTTGAGTTTATCCACGACATGTCAAAGTTCGGCTTGGCTCAGTTCAACTGCAACCATAGCAGGGAGAGGGAGATGCTCCCAATGCACAAATGTAGAGCTTTTGCTTGCTGCTATACGAACAGATTGAATCAAATTGGATGTTGGTTAAATCTAATTTTGATTTGTTTACATTCAAATTTAAATAGGATTTATATCAAATTGCACCAAATTTGGATTGTAATCATACATCGATTACCATAAATAATTTAAACAAAAAACATCAATGTTATTTTGGTAAAAAATCGACCAACAAAACTAATAGCTAACACACAAAAGATACAAGACCAACATGGTCAAGAAACCAACTCTGAGTTGACCAAAGTCTGCAGCCAAGGAGGATTTTTCACAATAAGATCAGGAGTGTTCATCTCTCGCGAGTATAAAGCTGCTACTTCATGAGCCATACAATTAGTAACCTTGCTAATCCATCCCAAAGGACATATTTTCAAAATCGATTCAGAAGAGTCAGTTTAAGTTYTGGCCTGTGATGCAGCGCAATCCAGGCACTCTTARCTGGCAGAGAGTTGGCTCCTAGCTGGCAGCGGACGGCACCTGAGAAGAAGGTGGTGAAGAATTCCAGGGGAGTTACCCGGTAGGAATATTCCGACGGTCAAGTTAGAACGCTTGAAAGAGCGATGAATAATGCAAAGGAAGCTAAGAGYGTAGGTCGCACGAGATCAATAACAGTGTCAAGTTGATTCAAGATACCTTTTCCCTTCGTCTGGGGGCTTTTAAATACGGGTGTTCCTTGCTGAGGTGGGCGTAACCGCCATTGGATGTTTGTTGTAGCCGTTACTGGCCAATGCTGCACAGGCGATCATTGCAGAGTATTGTTCTACTGGGTGAGTGACACGTCTCGTGAGGTCAGGCACGCCTCCATCCGTTGAGAGAGATGTGGGTGCAGTCTGCTGAATTGGTAGGGACTGCGCCGTCAGTCAGGGGACGCGGGGCAGTCTGATGGGTACGGTTTTGTCAGATGGAAGCTTCCTGAGGGTACCTTATCTCTCATTAGCGAGCTATCTTGTTTGCAAGCTTTCAAGAGTGTCTCGGGGTAGTCCTCGGGACTGTCTATGGGGGTAGCTCTTCTGCTGGAGCGAGCTGATCACCCTAGCTCGTGAGCTAAAGTGATCTTGGAGAATTCTTTTTCGGTAGCTCGGGGGAGCTTGAGCTCGCACGATAGCGAGCTCTCATGTCAACGAGCTAAGGCACAGTGAGCTATTTCGCGAGCTCATTACTTAGTCGCAGTCAAGGTGCGTGTTGGATTGCTGCTCATGCTGAGCCATATCCACGTGTCATCGTTTCAGGGGGTCGGGTCAAATCACCCTCCATCAATTGCCCCCCACTCCTCGGGCTAAGAGTGATGCCTTAGCGCGAGGAGTTCATGGAGTGTGATGGGTTGATTTGGCCGAAATTCAAACTTTGATTGACTGCCCATATTAAATGCGTACGCGGGAATCAGGGGATTTCTAACTTTTCGAATATCGAAACACACGTTGAAGCGGCTCTTAACTCCGGATGTTGTGCAGCCGTCATGACATCAATTATGGGAGGCATGCAACCAGTCACGTTTCAGTTTCAGAAGTCGTGCGGTCAACTTGGCTGTGAACCATCAGATCTGTCTCAATCTGGGCCGTCGATTCGGGGGCACGGTGATTATAAATGGGAGGGCCTCTCGAGCCTCATTCTCTTTCATGCTAACCCTGCTGTCTTCAGATTCTGAGATCGTGCATCCACTTAGTCCACCTGAGCTCTTTCGCCCACACCGTCTTTTCCGGTTCAGTTTTACCTGGTGAGTCTTATCAATCATGTCTGGGTACCCATACCACATTTACTCTCGAGACGATAACCAGGATGACACTCCTTCGAGCTCGGGGGGAGCCCAGGAACAGGCCCCGGGGTCTTGGGAGGCCTCCGGTGATGGGGCCTCTACTTCTCGGGGGAGGGAGCTTGATACTTTCGGCCCCTCCTCTATGACAGCAGAGAGACTCAGGTATCTAATCCGCCACTTCCGCCTCCCGAGGGACCTTGTCTACCGCCTTCCCACCGGTAACTTCCTATGGGAGCATGGTYCCAATGAGATAGTTATCTTCTAGGAGCAGCTCGAAGCTGGCCTGCGTCTTCCCCTGCACCCCTTAATAGTGGAGGT